AAAAGAAACCACACATATTATCCCCCTTTAATTGAACACTGACAAATTTATTGCAATAATAATAGCTCCCCTCCTTGCAAAGCAAGTCCAAATTTTTTAGCTTCTACATTTATTTAAGTTATTTATTTATTTAATAAGATTATTTAAAAACCTAATTGATCTGTTATTAAGAACCAAAGGAGGGATCAGAGATAATGAATGGGACAATTTGTGGTAAATAAGAAAAACTGTAGACTTTCAATAACAGTAAATTATAATAACAGACTATTAACAGATTGCCTTGAACTTTAACTTTGCTGTTGCTTAATCTGTTAACTACATTTTTTTCATATATGCAATGATTTTTCATTGCCATGTTAATGTTTCATCCAATTTTATGTTTTTGCAATATCCAACATTTCTGTTCTATGAAAAGGTAATTAGATATATTTATCCGACTTTAAGACAGGATTTGATATTTTCAGATATCCATATTATTTTACATGAAAACTGATGCTCAACAACATCTGTCCCATTCAGATTGCTAAGAGACTGGTCTTTCAATAATGGAACCATAAATTTATGGCCCAGTTACTTAGTGGATTGAAGACCTGATATAGCATGCAACATATACACAAATTGTATAGGTTTAGGTTATGCATGGATACTTGCAATGAAATATGCTCATCCTTTGTTAGAATGCTATGTAAATATTGAGAGCCTTTTATATTGTTATAAATTTGTTGTGGCTCCTTGCTATTTTTCCCCCTCCTTTTTCAATATTTTCCTTTGATTATTTTCTTAAATAAAAGTCAACAATATCTAAGACTTGTTTCCTGTTGACTGTTCTCTCTCCTTTCCACACACACCCCACCCCTATCTTCACATCTTTGCAGCAGACACATAAAGGAAAGATAAAAAGCAAGAGAGGGTCTGCACTGCAGTGGATGACATCAGAAAGAATCTTCTCACATGTAACAGAGGCACGGTGTGCATATTTGAGTGGGGGAAAGTTTGTTAAATAATTACCTCATACGTAGCCTTGCCAGCTGAGACTTTTTATATTTTCTATTTTTTTCAAGTGAATCTCCACCCAAGCCAATGATCACGATGGAAAGGATTGGTCAAACTCACTCTGCTTAAGGACTTACTTGGGCAAGAAAAAAGCAAGGCACTACATTTAGGCAAGAAAAACGAAATGCACAGGTACAGTATAGGTGGTACCTTGCTCAATAGTAGTAACTGTGAGAGGGATCTTGGAGTCCTAGTGGACAACCATTTAAATATGAGCCAGCAGTGTGCAGCAGCTGCCAAAAAAGCCAACACAATTCTAGGCTGCATAAACAGTGGGATAGAATCAAGATCACATGAAGTGTTAATACCAATTTATAATGCCTTGGTAAGGCCACACATGGAATACTGCATTCAGGTTTGATCACCACGATGTAGAAAAGATGTGGAGACTCTAGAAAGAGTGCAGAGAAGAGCAACAAAGATGATTAGGGGACTGGAGACTAAAACATATGAAGAATGGTTGCAGGAACTGGGTATGACTAGTTTAATGAAAAGAAGGACTAGGGGAGACATGATAGCAGTGTTCCAATATCTCAGGGGTTGTCACAAAGAAGAAGGAGTCAAACTATTCTCCAAGGCACCTGAGGGCAGAACAAGAAGCAATGGGTGGAAACTAATCAAGGAGAGAAGCAACTTAGAACTGAGGAGAAATTTCCTGACAGAACAATTAATCAGTGGATCAGCTTGCCTCCAGAAGTTGTGAATGCCCCAGTACTGATGTTTTAAAGAAGATGTTGGATAGGCATTTGTCTGAAATGGTATACGGTTTCCTGCCTAGGCAGGGGGTTGGACTAGAAGACCTCCAAGGTCCCTTCCAACTCTGATATTGTACTGTAAGGAAATGTATTGTAAGGAAACCTGAGAGTTAGAGGTGGTATTCTACCAATTCGGACCAGTTCGCCTGAACCAGTAGCCCCACCCACCTGCACCAGCTCTATGGCATTCCTTTTAGGCCCTTTTTTTAGCCAAAAGCACATGCACGGAAGGCTGAGCGCATGTGAACAAAGTGAGTGCACATGCGCACACGCTCACATTTGCGAACTGGTTGGGAAAGTAAGTTACCACCCCTGCTGAGAGTCCTGTAAACACATGGCATCCCTTCTGTGCAGGACACCAAGTTTTGACCACAGACAGCTACCACTACTGGAGAAACATCAGCCACAGTATGACCAGACCTCTGATAACACTTAAGCTGCCCCCTTGTTCCCCTACTTTAGGGTTTCCAGTGAACACAGAACTGCGCCCCACATTCAGATAATATTAATTTCATTTCATTCATTTAAATCGAGACAATTGGTTTCATCCAAGAGAGCCAGGAACTGATCATCCTCCATCTGCTCAAGCTTCTTGCCAAGAAAGGGAATATCCATCACCAGCCCTAGAGCTGTTTTTATCCTCGGCATCCAGGTTAACTTTCTCCAGAAGCAACCCGATCACCGATTCTTTTTAAAAGACTGAAAGACTGACCCTCTCTCAATGAGGCGTTTATGACAAATCCATTGTCCATCTCTTTGGGCCTCAACTACTGAAATCCATCCAACAAAATAGGACAAGAGAATGCTCTGGACAGTTCCACTTCTGTGGTTTTATTAACTGCAGAGAAAGTTATGGAACTTTATCTCCAAAGTGTTGCACACACATCTCTCATAATGGGCTGCCAAAGGTACAACAGCCTCCTTCTTTACCATTTTACAAAGACCACTAAATTCATAATTTTAAATCCCACGGACCACTAATATGATCTGCCTAATGAACTGGTGGGGTGGGCGTAGCAAGGTGGTCATGTGACTGGGTGGGCGTGGCCATCTCAATGTCACTCACTTCAAGGGGCGCCTTGCCAGCCTCTACTCACCACTCCTCGCCTGCCCACTTGGGCTCCTTAGGGACCCAACAGGAAGCAGTTGCTGGACCTAAGCAGCCACCATGAGAAACAGTTGGGAAAACAGCTGTCTCAGTTCTAATTGGATCTGACCGAGAAGGAGGCTCAACAGAAGCACTTCACTGAGGACTACGAGCACAGGCTTTCCAAGCAGAGAGAAGACTTGCAGGAGTGCAAGGCCAAGTGCCAGCCCCTGGAGGCTTAGTAGGCTGAGATGGTCAGCCAGTTCCAGACCATGATGCAGTCCCACTGGACTCTTGCAAGATGCAAGAGTTCGAGGTGGATTTGGAGTACCAAACTGGGAATTTATATTATCAAGCAGAGAGATTAGCTTGAATGAAAGAATGGATCCTACTGAGTAATACAAGATTACTGACATTGGAAGGTCATGATTTGCAGCTAGGTTGGCATGCTTTTTTGTGGTATAGTAAAAGTAAGGCACATGGCTATTTTCAAAGTCATTATGTAAGGAATGGATTGTTAACAATATGGGAAAGCGTGAAAGGGAAACACTATTTAGAAATACCAATGTGGCTTTCAACAATGGAAGCATTGACGCATATCAGTAGTACGAAAAATATTATTAGATACAAAGACATCTTAACAGAAAGGGGGGAATTAAAACAAAAACAAGAATTAGAAAAACAAGGGATTGAGCCAAGGTGGCGCAGTGGATAGAGTGCAGTACTGCAGGCCACTTCAGCTGACTGCTATCTGCAGTTCAGTGGTTCAAATCTCACCGGCTCAAGGTTGACTCAGCCTTCCATCCTNTTTGTTTATTTCAAAACTAGATAATGAATCCCACAGCAAGAAAAACTGCCACCGTGTCTGAATAGTATCTACCAGGACAGAATTGTAGTAAGCTATGTCTGCCAACGAAATACTACACTGTATATTGAATTATTGCCTTTGAAAAAAATATTCTGGTATTTGGTCTTTTGTTACTGTTGGAAAACACAAAAAAGCAGATGGGAATGAATTGAAGACTCCCAGCCTTATTTTGCACATTATTATTACTCTTCCTCTTTTATTTTAAAGAGAAGTCAAAGTAATTTCATTTTAGAAAAGAAATTAAATAAGATAAAATGCTTATCTTAACAACAGTAAGTTGCACACACAGGTACTTGGCTCAGCTACTTATGCACACAAGCAACAGTGCATGATAAAAACGTGCACCATTTGGATTTGGCAGGTCCCCAGATGTTGCTTGCTCATGTGGCCCTGTGAAAGTGAAGTCACAGGGCACTTTCCTTCCAGGGCCCCAAAGGTCAGTCACATGACTGCAGAGACTGCAATGGGCAAAGTGGCGGTCATTTCCAGAGGGTCAGAATATTGGTCATGTGATCATAATTTGGGGGAACCAATCACAAGTCTACTACAGGTAGTCCTTGATTTATGACCACAATTGAGCCCTAATTTTTTGTTGCTAAGTGAGACAGTTGTTACATTTGACTCATTTAACAAACATTCTTGCCATAGTTGCTAAGTGAATCCCTGCAGTTGTTAAGTTAGTAACACGGTTATTAAATGAATCTGGCTTCCCCATTGACTTTGCTTGTCAGAAGGTTGCAAAAGATCAGAGAACCCCAAGACACTACAACCATCATAAATATTGCCAAGCATATGAATTTTGATCATGTGACCATGGGGATACTGCAGTGATCATGTGAAAAATGGTCATAAGTCACTTTTTCAGTACCGTTGTAACTTTGAATGGTCACTAAATGAACTATTTTACGTCGAAGCCTATGTCTATTTAACTACCATCGTTGTTTTGAGCAGACAGTAAGCAAATGGTCTTAGGTCGAGGACTACTTGTATTTTCTTTTGTTATAAACCTAAGGAAAAGAAATGTCATATTTGCTACTCGCTTTATCCAAGACTGGGGATCTTTCAAAAGCAAGGAAAATAGTTAATTAACAACTCACTAGGTGTTCAGCATTTTCAAGGGCCATTGGCTAAGTTCAGGAAGTCTTTTCATTGCATTTTAATCTCACAATTAAGTTCTACAGACAACTAGTTGTACTTCAAATTTCAGATGTGTTTCAAGGCTTCAGTGGCTTTGTACCTCAATGTCCAGAAATCCTTGTGGACGAATGGTACCATAGCTGGGAGAGATGGTAAATTCTTTGGGCTTTGCAGATGCAAACCATGCCTTTCTCCACGTTGGGCTTGAGATGTCAGAGGCTTGATCCTGACTCCTAATACTTGGCTCTCCATTACCATCTCCTGGGACATGCAGGCTGAAAGTCATGGGCACCAGTGAAGTGTTGCTGAGGCAGCAGGATAGGGTTTGAGGGAAACCTGGAAGCAAGAATGGAGGTTGTAGGTGAGCTGAATGAGGGTTCTGAAAAGGACAAGGGCACCAAACCAAACCCTCCCACTTTACGCAAGGTCAACTTTAGGTCTTGCTAGCTTGCACCCTTTAGGATAATGGGATAAAGGGCAGTTCTTAGGAGGAAAAGCTCAAATAAGGCCAATAGATGGAACCAAGGATATGAGAGCCAGTAAGGTGTGTTGCAGTGTTCTGTAAGTTCATTCTAGGCCGAGGAAGCTCATTGGGTGTCTTTGGACCAGTCATTCCTTCTAGAAGCACTTCCTGACTGAAGAAGGTTTGAAAGGTTAATACCCATAGGGCAGAAGGCACACTCAGAGTTCCTGGCAAGTCTGCTCTCAGATTCCTGTCCAATAATACCAATAATGCACCTCCACATATCTCCCCTACTCCTGGTCAATGGTGAAATTCTTTTTTTTTTACTATCGGTTCTCTGGGCGCAGCTTGGTGGGTGCTGCAGGGGAAGGATACTGCAAAATCCCCACTCCTGGCGGAAGGATATTGCAAAATCTCAATTTCCACCCCACTCTGGGGCCAGCCAGAGGTGGTGTTTGTCGGTTCTACTCAAAATTTCTGCTACCGGTTCTCCAGAACCTGTCAGAACCTGGAGTCAGCACAGCTTGGCTGTAGTCCCTGCTGCTTGGGCTTTGCCTCCCACCGCTCTCCCCTCCTCTTTGTCCCTTTGCCCCATCTCCCAAGTGAACACACTAAACATCTGGGCATGTCTATGGAGGTTCTCAGTCATCTAGGTCACGGTTGTCCCAAAGGTGCTTTTCAAAAGGCAGCTGGACTTGAAAACATTTTGCTTCTCATCCAAGCAGCTTCTTCCATTCTGACTGAATGGTAGGGAAGGGAACCACATCTGGGCCTGCTTTTCTTTTGTTCAGCAGGTAGCGAATTACCAGCAGGAAACAAGCTTCTTGCCTTGTCTAGCCTGGAGGACCTGAGTCCCTCTGGGGACTGAAAGCAAGTCTTGGACTAGATGGACATTGGACTAATTGGCCGAAGTGGAATCCCCAAACAAAATGAATGTAGAGGAGTGGCTTACCGAAGGAGACATCCCCAAAATTGAGAGAGGGGACACTGAAATGAAAAGTGGGTCCAATGACACAGCCCCTGAGGTGAAAAACAGAGATTTTTAAATAATACAAAGAGGGCAAACCCAACAGAGATAAGCAATGAGAACACTCATTGATCCTGCCAGGTACTCAATAGAAGGAGTCTCATGAAACATTTTGCATTCAAGTGTATTTTTTGTCTTTTCACAAAGAAGAGATGAATCTGCTCATGGCTAACAGACCTTATCACAGTGCAAATGTCAGGCCTGCAAGCCATTTTTTCTTTTATGGACTTCAGGCCTGCCACACTTTCTATTATTCTACTATGCATTTCTATTGTGGGAAAATGGGAGGGGGGATTATATGGAGTATCCAAGATGGAAAAACCTGCAATGATGGGAAGAATAGCAGTAGTAAAGATGAATATAATGCCAAGATTGCTATACCTATTCCAAACAATACTGATAAAACTAGAGAAAAAATATTTTGAAAGTATGAATAAAATAGTGGGGAAATATATACAGCAGGGGGGAAAATGAGAATTAATCTAAAAATGTTGCAAAATGCAAGACGTTGAGGTGGATTTGGATTACCAAACTGGGAATTGTATTATCAAGCAGCAGGATTAGCTTGGATGAAAGGATGGATCTTATTGAGAAATACAAGATTATTGACATTGGAGGGTCATGATTTGCAACTGGGTTGCCATGCTTTTTTGTGATAGAGTAAAAGTAAGGCACATGGCTATTTTCAAAGACATTATGTAAGGAATGGATTGTTAACAATATGGCAAAGAGTGAAAGGGAAACACTATTTAGAAATACCAATGTGGCTTTCAACAATGGAAGCATTGACACGTCCAAATATTAGTAGCATGAAAAATATTATTAGATACGAAGATATCTTAACAGAAAAGGGGGAACTAAAACGAAAACAAGAATTAGAAAAACAATGGATTGATATAGGATGGTTTTCACAATTGCAAATACAATCAAGATATGAAAAAGATAAAAGGGAATACAGTTTTAACTTAGGAAGTTCGGAGTTGGATAAGATACTTACAGTATGGGATCAGAAGAAAGAATAATTATGAAACTATATAGCTACCTATTAAGAACTAGGCTAGAAGAAGAAGTGGTTAAAGATACAATGTTACACACAATTGAGCTAGAAAAGTGGCAACAACCATGGGAAAGGAACCATAAATTAAACATGTCAACAGCTTACAAAGAAAATTTATACAAAACGTTTTATAGATGGAACATGTCACCGGGAAAATTAGCAAAGATGTTTAAAGACAAGTGAATGAAATGTTGGAAGTGTCAACAAGCAATAGGTTCCTATTATCACATGTGGTGGACATGTGCAGAAGCAAGGAAATATTGGATTAAAATAAGAGTATGGTTAAAGAAAATCTTATAACAAGAAACAGAATTTAGACCAGAGATATTTCTACTAGGTATTATCCCAGAGAAATTCAAAAAAGAGGATACCTATTTGATTATACATGAAACTACAGCAGCGAGAATTGTATTTGCCCAAAATTGGAAATTAAATAAGCTACCAACAGACGAAGAGATAATAAAAAAGATATTAGATTGTGCAGAGATGAATAGGTTGACAATGAAAATAAAGGATAAAGAGGAATCAGAGTACTTCAAGACATGGGGAAGATTTTATGACTGGCTAGAGAAAGGAAACTAGAAAAGAAAGTAGGGAGAAGACATAGAACCCAGATGATGCACTATGAAATGGGAAAGGGGGGGAAAGGGGGAAAATAGAAAAGAAAATATTAAATATATAAGTATATATTCAAGAGCAAGATATAAAGGGGGGGGGGAAACACAGTTAGGATACATTAGCGAAGGTAAGGGAATAAGAAATGATATTAAACTATATCTGGGTTTGCGGAAATATCATCCCAAGGAAACATAAACTGAGATCTGAAAGAGACACCTACAACAATAGAAAAGAAAGTGAGAGAGGAGGAGAGAATGAAAGGAAGACGGAGGAAAGAAGAAAGAGGTAAGGAGAGGAAGATGGAAGAGAGAGGAAGAGAAGGAGAGAAGGTAGGAAGGGGAAGAGGAAGAATAGGAGTAGGAAAAAGGTAAGGGAAGAAGGAAGGGGAAGGAGAGGAGGAAGGAAGGAAGTAGAGAAGGGAGGGAGGGAGAAAAGAAAGGAAAAATAAGGTGGTGCTACAACAGGAGGAAGAGATGGTAAATAAAGCAACCCAAACTGTATATCATAACCTATTAAATGAAATAATACAGGTATAAGAATGACAAATGTAAAGAAGAAGAAGAATTATGTAAATGTATACTTAAAATGGTATGTAAGAGAACAAAAAATAAAATAAAAAGTTCTGCAAAAAAAATTCTTCCTAGAAAGCGAAGGTCATCTTTTGTCTCTACACCTGGCCGGAACTGGATGGGTGGAAGCTGCCAGAGTGGCAATAGAAGATTGGACCATGTGATGGACTTGTGGGTGTAGGGGCAGGATCTTGAACTTTCAACTGGGTGGAGAAACCTGGAAGCTTTCAGATGGTATTTTCCCAAATTTGCCAATATGGCTCTCTTAATAAATTGGAATTTTGAGGAATCCTTTGCCTCAGACTCTGATTTACTTTTGGATGTTATTTGGAACGCTGATAGCAAATGCTTCTGCGAAACTTGGCTAACCTTAATAAGTAGTCTAACTTACGTACAAGAGGTTGAGGCTTACCGAATCACTAAGGTCACAGGCTGGGGAGATCCATTCACATGGAACTTGAACTCTTCCGAGAAGGGGCCCAGAACAGTAGAACTGAAAGAAATGTGAATGGCCTGATGGCCACCTGGCTCAACGATTCCTTCTCTGGGTTGAAAGGCAAAGCAGACACCCAGCACAGTGGAGGGCCACATCAAGTGGAAGAGGGCATCAATAGCTCCTTGGTTAGACAAGATGGCCTGGCACAGAGAGAAGGGAGAAAGATGAGTGAGGGAAGTAACTTGGCAGTTGAAGAACCAACAGAGATATCTCGGAGTTATTTCTAAGCTGCGTGAAAAGCCTCAGTTTCAAAGGTATCCACTTGAATGGGGTTCTAGCACTGGGTTGCATTAAAACTGGCCTGAACATTCATTATTGGTGGCTGCGAGAGTGCATATCATGGCAACTGGGTCCAGCACCGTCACTGGGGCATCCATGAATTCATACCCATTTATTTTGCAGAAATGCCTACGTCCCAGAGAGCATTGCCTAGGCTTCTTCTCATCACCAGCCTCTGGCATGACAGACCCTGAAGGCCCTTTGCTGAAGGGCAGGTGCCCCATGTGGCCTTCCAAAGCTTGTAAAGATCTGATTGCTTCAGAAGACATTTTGGTGCCATGGGGGCAAATTTGGGATTTTATATACATTCTTATTTAGATATTATATATTTTATGCACTACTTTTATGCGTTTGCACTGATGATATATACAGGCAGTCCTCAACTTACAACCATTCCCTCATGACTGTTCAGTTATGATGACACTGAAAAAAGTGACTTATGACCAGTTCTCACACTTATGACTGTGGTAGCATCCTCACAGTCACATGATTGAACTTTGGATACTTGGCAACTGACATTTTTTTGCAATAGTTGCAGCATCTGTTGAGATGGTTATTTACAACCTTCCTAGGGGCTTCTGACAAGCAAAGTCAATGAGGGAATGCTGGATTCATTTAATGACCACATAATTCAGTTAACTATAATAGTTTGCTTAACGACCAGGGGGATAAAGGTTGTAAAATGGGGCACAACTCAATTAACAATCACATTCCTTAGCAACAGAAATTTTGGGCAGAATTATGGATACAAGCCCAGGACTGCTTGTACTCCTGGAACTGCTTAAATTGAAACAGGATTGAAATAATCTATTGATACTCACAAGTGAGGCAACAGGATTTTTCACTCCATTCCTAAGAGGTCTGTAAGGGGTGTGCATCCCTGTCCTATTGTCTCCATTTATTCGTACCCATTTACTGTGTTCATATTTATGTTTATACTTATACCTGTTATCTTTTACATGTTTGACAAACTAAATAAATAAAAATTTGGCAGTGACTCAGAACAGACCTGAGTGCAGCCAATTTTATAACGATGCGTTGATTTAACGATGGGCAAATAATACTTATGCTTAATAGTGAGGAAAGGCCTGAAAGAAAAGAGTGAAGAACAAACAGGAAGAAAGAACTCAGCACTTTAAAAGAGAAATAAAATCCTATTCTTCTCCTAATTTTTCATTTAATTTCTCAAGTTTCCTCTACAAATTTGATCAAATTATTGTAAGAGGAAAGAGAATCTTACTGATCCTAGACCAAGCAAAATCCAAAAACTCTAGGGAATTCCCGGAAGTGTGGCGTTCAGAGACATCAGCCTCAATAGACCCAAAGAAAGACAAACCACATTTACACAACATTAGAAATGGGCAATAAAAAGCAAAGGAGGAAACAAAAAGATGAGAACATATTGTCTCCAGCAGCCAATATCCAGATAAGCAGGGATAAACACTATGCAAACAGTCATACAGAAAACAATACCCTCATCCAGCACTGGCAAGGCAAGCTACTATATACATGAGGGAGCAAAGCCCACAATCACCAGTACTGATGATGTTCTTTAATCAGGTAAAGAAACATCTGCAAGCAAATAACCAAGCTCAGAGAGCACACACTGTAACAACTGAACTTACCTCATAACTGTGAGATGATCCCACAAAAATTTTCCCAACGTCCAGCTGATCAAAGTTGAAAAGTAGCTTGGGGCCTATTGCCTCCCCCTTGATACGCAGAGGGAGCCTGGTCTCTCGGCCTGTAGAAATGATAACTCATTTTCAGGAAATTAATTGTGGCACAATTCTTTAAACAATATTGGACAAAACAAACAAGATCAGAAAGTGGAGGCATTGAGCTTTTCTCCTTGCTGTGCACAATCACTCTCTTCTTGCCTTGGAGTTCTGCTATTTATTCATTTATTCATCATATGGTATATGATAGATGGACTTGCAATATATATTAACATTTCACCTAGATTAGTAAAACATAATAAAATATAAGTGTTAAAAAGATCTATGTTCAAACACCAATGTCTAGGCTATCTAACCACTGAAGCGCAGCATCATTCATATAAAAGAAATCAGATACTGGATCGGTAGATGCTCTCAGTTTATAACCGCTCAAGTGTGATTTACACTTTGATGTGGGACCCTGAGGGGAGGATACTGCAGGGAGTCCCAGCAGACATGTGTGAGGCGGGAATCCTATTCAGGATTGTCCATTGCTGACATGGTAGTTAGTAGAAAAGAATTCTGCCATGCAGCCCTCCACTCCCAGTGGGGGGGAGTTCTATTAGATTGGCTGCTTCAGACACCTAGTAGAACCACCTGGTTTTCAGAGGAAGCTTGAGGAACTTTAGAATAGAATAGAATAGAATAGAATAGAATAGAATAGAATAGAATCCTTTATTGGCCACACAAGGAATTTGTCTTTGGGGTATATGCTCTCAGTGTACATAAGGAGAATAAAATAAAATTCATCAAGAATAAAAAGATGCAACACTTAGTGATAGTCAAAGTTACTAATAAGCTATCAGATTGTATTAGGAAACAAATAAAAAAATATAAATTGAAAGACACAAGCAACATGGTTATAGTAATAAGTTTGAAGAAATAGATACTAGTAAGGAAGAGAAGAATAACAATAATACAGTCTTAGTAAATTATTTGACAATGTCAAATGGGAATGGGAATTAGTTGTTAAGCAAAATGATGGCACAAGGAAAAAACTGTCCTTGGGTCTAGTTGTTCTGGTGTGCAATGCCCTATAGCGTCGTTTTGAGGGTAAGAAGTTGAAACAATTTATGTCCAGGATGTGAGCGGTCTGTAGACATTTGCACAGCCCTCTTTTTGACTCGTGCAGATCCTCAATGGAAGGCAGGTTGGTAGCAATTGTTTTTTCTGCAGTTCTAATTATCCTCTGAAGTCTGTG